CTGACTAGCCCAACCGGTGGTGTGTCGACGGGCAATTTCAAGCCTACTCTGACGCAAAGTTCCTGAATGACAAATGAGTAATGACTCAAACACTCACATTGGAGCGGCGGGTCCTTACAGGGAGTCTCCCGATGATGACTAAAATCCACAATATCTTCACCTGACATTGACTGGAGTGTACAGCATGTCCGTTGGGACGTTATAGTGAAGAGTTGGTCCGAGAGTTCTATGCATCCTACGTAGCGACTCTCCGATCGCAAATTGATAGGTGGGCTACCCCAGACAAATAAGCCTAAATGGAGCAGGTCCGAGTACGGGGCATTCAGGTCGATATTTACCTGCCTGCCATTCGTCGGTTTCTATATGGTGAGGGTGTTGATGCTAATCAGACCCCTCTCACTGCCGAGTTTGACTACCGATGGCAGATTGTTAAAGATGGACAATTCCTGCGTGAGCCATCACTGAGAGAGACCACCAAGAGGTGGACGGCCCTGCACTTGTCCGTTGATGGAGAGGGTGCCGACTGGGTGACCAAGCCGAAAGGGGCCATCAAGAAGGCAAACCTGACTTTCACGGAAAAAGTTTTTGTGGTTGATTGTCCGCCACAGCCTTTCCCCCACAACCATCGATAATATCGTCACACGGGATCGAGTAGTACTGATGGCGGCGATGATAGCTGGGTTCGAGGTGGATTTCGCGTGGCTTCTACAGGCAGTCATGCACGAGAGGGATTTTAAGGTCACAACTACTTACCCTTTCCGGTGCATGATCTTTTCTCTCTGCAGGTCCGCAGGTGTGCCTATTTGGCACGTTGATCAGCTTAAGACCCTGCTGGGCACTGTTGATGTCGGCCTCATCAAAGATGAGGCCAATGACTTGGCTCCACGCAGAGGGCCCTGTCCAGAGCTGCCCCACTTGCTGACGATCTAGATGATACGGTAGCCCAGGCCAGCATGGCTACGCAGGCGGCGTTCAGTGACACAACCCTGGTCGAGTCTATCCCGGGTAGTAGCACTGCACTGAGATCCTCTCGCACAGCCCCTCTACCCGTGCTGGTCCCGCTTTCTAGGGTCCTAAAATTAGAGACGCAAATGGCTATACTTTTGCATCATATCCAGCCGTGGATGCAGAGATCTATTACCGAGGCAGAAGAGCGCATGGAGAGGAAAATGGTCCAGCATACAGAGTGGAAGATCGTTGAGGTTCACCAGCGCTTGGACGCTTTTGAGTTGCGGTTTTTAGCCTGGCCAGACCTTCCGGTGGATGTGTCGACTCTTCAGGCTGCGGTTGACAGTCTTCGTGCAGATATTGAAACGATCTTAGAGGCTAGGGTGCCTGAGTCTGAGGCCCCTTCTGTCGAGCCAGCTGAAGACACAGTGTTGGCAGCCCTATTCGCCACCTCAGAGATTCCACCACCTCCCCCTCGAGAGCATGCCAAGAGGCGTAGGGATCGAGCGGAGGATGAGGCGCGAGCACGAAAGAAGGAGCGCCGTGAGATGGAGGTTGCGAGGAGAGCCTTGCTTGCTGAGGAGGAGGCGCGCCAGATGAGACCAGGAGAGTGAGTGGCTGGGGCGTCTAGATCCCGAACTGTGGGGATAGTGGGAGGCACTGCTGATAGTGCAGTTGTTGCTGAGGACACCACCGAGGGTGTCCAGATTACAGAAGAAGTGGGTTCCGAGGAGCTGGACCCACCAGCTTGCTGATCGTCGGCGCTTTGCGCCCCAGGTTTACTTCACCTACCACTCTAGTATTTCAATTTTTTATGCATTGGGGACAATTGCATGAATTTTTCTTGGGGGTGGGGTAAATGGAAAGTGATTGCTAGGGTGAAGTCTGAGTAGCCCAATTTACTATCCTCTTTTGGGGTTTTCTTGCATGTGTTCTTTTCCCCAAGAGACTGATTACTTTTTCTGTTGAACCGACATGTCTATATCTTGTGTACATAGTTTAATTCTAGAGCATGATGGCTAAAATAATATCCTGATAAAATGGAAAATGATGCATGACTAGGCATAGTAATTGGTAAATGTGTGGCTCTAAGTATGACATAGAGGTACATCACTACATTACCCTAAGTCTAAAATTCGAACTAGGTGTCTGATAATCTGGTAGAGTGATGAGATGTCAAGTGAGTTTGAGGAAGATTTGAATAGTCCACTATTTGTACTGAGCTATAACTTGCCTGGTTAGTCCTGCTAAAAGTACGCTGTAATAGACAATTAGGAAAGGATCATAGGCCCTTATTCAATATAGCCCATTTTTATCCTAAATAAAAGAAAACCAAATGAAATTTATCCTTCTTTGATCCAAATGATCTGAGCTTAAATGAGACCTTTCTTTTTCACCCCAACTGATCTTTTCTAGGAATAATGTGTTGGCCCTGGTCCCTCCTTGGACATGTGCATCTCAGCTTATGCCAAAAGCATAAGTTGAGGGTGGCTAATACAGTAAACAACCTTTGTTATGTCCCTGACCCAACTTTGGGTATTGTGTACTTTGACTCATGGCAAAACCATGAGTTGAGGGTGGCTATTATGAGGAATGCTCTGGAAAGTGTGGTTGAAAGAACAAAGAGAGAGAAAGAACAAAAGTAAAGTGACTCAAGAATTAGTTGAAAGAAAAGTAAAGAAAAGGAAAATATACAAGAAATACAAGCAAGAAATGAAGAGAGTCACTTATACAAATGAAGAAAGAAGAGAAAATAGCAAGGTGAAAAAATATGAGAAACTAGGTGAGATAAAATGATAGAAAATGGTATATTTAGCCGATATGTCAAGGAGGGAAAAAAGTCACTAAAGTATACCTAAATATACCCGACCTGACCCCGAGCCTATGTTTCAAGCTAAGAAAGTCCTATCGTGATCCTAAGGGTTGTATAGCAAACTTAAGGCAGTGAAAATAAGGTCAAGCTTATGGCAATAGGTATAAATAAATGTTAATTTGTTCTGAGAGCGAGTGTTGAAAAGTAATCCTTATACTCAAACTGAAATCATTGTGTGAAAAATGAGGATTTTGTTTTAAAGTGAGGACACTAGTTGCAATACCGGAATTTTTAGCACCCCGGTGATAAATTAAAGAGGATAGGTGTTAGTGCATGGTGAGTTTGTGTTCATGCTCCGATCCCACCTAATTCAAGCCTAATAGTGATAGCATGCATAAATATGATGAGATTAATCGGGATTGATAGCCAAATGATTGCAAAGGATAAAACATGGATACTATTGTACAATGATTTTGTATCGAGTCATAGTGCGTCGCTTGAGGACAAACAACAAATTTAAGTTGAGGGTGTTGATATACCGTGGTTTCACAGTATTATTAATACTTTTTCCTTAAGTTTAGTGTGTCCAAAATCCTTTTTGTGCTAATTTTTATATATGTTTCTCTTTATTTTCGGGAAATCTGTCCAAAGATGAATGCGGAGATTTTGAGCGAAGAAATGCAGAAGAGACCACCTACAGAGCTTGTGACGGTCCGTCATGCTTGTAACGGTTCGTAGGTGGCAGCGTAGTGCAGCTGCTGAAGGAAGATGGGGAAGTCTGACCAAGTGTGGGGTTACGGAGTCCATGACGGTCCGTCGTGTCTATGATGATCCGTCCTGCAGGTTTTTCATGAAGTTCAGAGAAGTAGTCCCAGTACCCATATTCCAAGATTTTAAGTGTTTTGAAACGAAGACAATCGACAGACCGTTGTGCCTGTGACGGTCCATCATACTTGTCATCGAGGGTAATGAAGAGAACAGCAGAAGAAACTGAACAAGTATGGGACGACGGAGTCCATGACGATCCCTCATGACCACGACGATCCTTCGTGAGGTTTGTCGACCCAGCCGCGTTTTGACAGATTTCCAGCAAATAGAATCCTTGTTTAATTAGATGCTGGACCAAGGATTTAGAAATACATAACTTATCACTTTGCATGCAAGATACTAAGAAAGAATTGTTATAGTTAGAATTATCAAGTTATGAACCTGTGGGGAACACGTAAACCCTAATTACTTTGATTAATTGATTAAACTCCAACATTCAAAGCTTTTAAGTGTCTCTTTCAATTTCGTTAGTTATTTTCCTTCATTAAGAAATAGAAGCCCCCCTTTTTATTGTTTTTGCTTTCCAAGGAAGTAATTGACTGAACCGTAGTAATAATAGATTGAAGTTAAGTCTAAACTATTTTCCTCGTGGGAACGATTCCAACGTCACTAGTTGGGTTATTTACTTGACACGACTACTTTACTTCTTATTTGAGAAGTAAGTTTTAGCGTATCAAAAACATCCTATACCGAATGATTGGGATTTAACTGATGAGCTTTCCGATGAAGATGCGATATTAATTGAAGCTCAACCTCCTCTGAAAATGTACTTTGATGGGGTTGCACATCGTTGCGGAGCTGGTGCTGGCGTGGTGTTCATCGCTTCTCAAGAAGAGATTCTACCATTTTCTTTTACTTTGGAACAATGTTGATCTAATAATGTTGCTGAATACGAAGTGTTGATACTTGGACATGAAATAGCCTTCGACATGAATCAATTACATTTACAAGTCTTTGGTGACTCTCAATTGGTGATTAATCAAATCTTGGGAAGTTATGAGGTGGAGAAGCCTGATTTGCGCCCTTATCATGATTATGTTCAAAAGTTGATAGTATGGCTTGGGTATGTAACCCTTCAACATGTGCGTAGAATAGAGAATAAGAAAGTTGATGCATTGGCTGCTCTAGCTTCAAAGCTAACCGTTTCTGATCAAACACAAGTGACTGTCTGTCAAAAATGGATAGTACCTCAGCCAAATAAGGAAGAATATATTGAAAATGAGCTTGATCATATTGTTGCCGCTGCTGAAGCCGTGAAGGAAGATTGGAGAAAATCCATTATTTACTACATGTTTTATAGGATACTTCCAGAAAACCCAAGGAGAAGGACTGACATACGTCGTCGTGCACCTCACTTCCTTTACTAAAAGGGCACATTATATAGGCGATCATTTGAGGGTGTGCTATTACGATGTTTGGGAGAGGAAGAAGTGATTCAAGCTCTGCAAGAAGCAGACTCAGGAGTATGTGGATCACATTAATCTGGTCCAAAACTTCACTTTCACATTAAGCGGATGGGGTATTACTGGCCAATAATGGTGAATGATTTCTTAGATTATGCCTAGAGGTGCAATGCTTTTCAATTTCATGCGAATTTCATTCATCACCCGCCGGAAGTACTTCACCTAACCATCGCATCTTGGAAATTTGATGCTTGGGGACTGGATGTTTTAGGACCACTAGCAAAGTCTTCTGGTGGAAACTTGTACATCTTCGCTGCAATAAACTTTTTCTCAAAGTGGGCTGAAGTTGTCGCCCTTAAGGAAGTGAAGAAAGAGAATGTTGCAAATTTTATACGAGTGAATATCATCTATCGTTTTGGTATCCCTCGCTACATAATAACTAACAATGGCAAGTCATTTGATAGTAAGCTAATGGACAAGATTTGTGATCTTTTTGACTTCAAGCAACGTAAATCTTCTATGTATTATGCTACTGCCAATGGTCTTGCTGAAGCATTCAATAAGACTCTATGTAACCTGCTCAAGAAAGTTGCCTCCATGTCCAAGCGAGATTGACATGAAAGAATGGAAGAAGCTTTGTGGGCATATAGAACGACATACCGCACTCCAACTCAAGCAACACGATATTCACTTTCTTTTGGAGTTGAAGTTGTCTTGCCACTTGAGTGTCAAATACCTTCCTTGAGACTTGCTATTCAAGAAGGGCTCACTGAAGAAGAAAATGCTCGACTGTGTCTTGCTAAGTTAGAAGCACATGATGAAAAGAGGCTAGAAGCCCAACAAAACCTTGAATATTATCAAGCTCGTCTATCTTGTGCTTTCAATAAGAAGGTTCGCTTGTGGTGTTTCCAAGTTGGAGGCAGAGTTCTCGCAGTAAGAAGACCCATCATTACTTTGCACAAGTCTGGGGAAAATTTTACCTCAAAGTTGAATGGACCAAATGTCGTACAAGAAGCATATCCAAATGGTGCTTACAAGCATGTTGATGTTAATGGCTTAAGGATCGGTCCTATTGACGCCAAATTCCTAAAGAGGTACTACCCTTGAAGTAAGATGATTCTCCTTAAGGTACGAGCCTAAACTGTGTGTCACTCCTGGCCCGCAAGAGTATAAACAGGGTACGACACATCCAAAAAAAAACTCAATATCCCAGAACTACGTTGTGACGTGATCCTCTCACTGAGGTACATAGGCGCTTAGAACCATCTTTTAAGTTCAGTTGCATGAGTGTAAAAAAACACATATTCCCACTTGATGTCACATGACAATTAAATAGATAAGTATTCTATTTTACCTTTTGTTTCATCAAACTTTAGACTTGTACGTAGTATCGATTGGTCAATAGATGGGGGCAAACCGTAAAAAAATATATGTGTTTCGTCATGCTTGAAGTTTTTTTAGATTTGATGTTTTTTTAAATCATCTAAGTATACAAATTGAAGTCTTCAAATCTTGAAAGTATGCAAATTGAAGTGTTTTGAATCTTTAAGTCTGAAATTAAAGTCTTCGAATTCTTTTCTGCAAGATGAAGCCTTATAATTCTTTTCTGCAAGTTGAAGTCTTCAGATTCTTCAAGTCTAAAAGTTGAAGTCTTCAAATTCTTTAAGTCTGTAAGTCTTCAAATCCTTCATGTAATGTGAGTTAAAATATGTAAGTCTACGATTTGGTGCCAAAAAAACAAAAAAATCTTTTAAGTCTCTAAGTTGAAGTCTTTAAACTATTCAAGTATGCAAGCTGAAGTCTTCAAATTTTTCAAGTTTACAAGCTGAAATCTCTAAATTCTTCAAGTTTGTAAGTTGAAGTCTTCAAGTTCTTTAAGCATGCGATTTGAAATCTTAAACTCTGCAAGTTGAGGTCTTCAAATTATTCCGCAAGTTAAAGTCTTTGAATCCTTTAAGTCTGCAAGTTGAAATCTTCAAATTATTCAAGTCTTAAGGTTGAAGTTTTCAAGTCTTGACACCTTTATATTACCTTTCTGAAAGCGGGGATTTACATTTATCCGCTTTAGCCTTAAGAACAACATAAAGTTACCTTTCTTAAGGCGGGGATTTTCATCTTTCCGTTTTCGCCTTAATTATACCATAAAGTTACCTTTCTTAAGGCGGGGATTTACATCTACCTGGTTTCGCCTTAAGAATACCATAAAGTTACCTTTCTTAAGGCGGAGATTTACATCTATCCGCTTTCGCCTTAAGAAACCATGAAGCTACCTTTATTAAGGCGGGGATTTACATCTATCCGCTTTCACCGTAAGAACACCGTGAAGTTACCCTTCTTATGGCGGGGATTTACATTTATCCGCTTTTGCCTAAAGAATACCATGAAGTTACCTTTCTTAAGGCAGAGATTTACATCTATCCGCTTTCGCCTTAAGAATACCATGAAGTTACATTTCTTAAGGCGGGAATGAGTACTCGTCCCTTTGAGTCATAGGACTACCTTATCCACGGATCATCCTTTGAATCCTACCCATGAAAATGGGGGAAGACAACAAAAAAAAAGTAGAGGAGAAATTGTTACCTGTCGAGAAGTTTGAGACTTGAAAGTCATGCAAAGCTAGGTTAGACTTAAGACAATATTTTCTTGGTGATAACTAAGACATTTAAGTAAATTTCAACCCATCACAACCATTTTTGGCAACGATGTTCTGACATTGAGATATAAAATATTTTGTGAGACAACAAAAATCTGAAATTTTCATAGTAGAGTTCAAAGTTAACTTTCAAAAATCACCTATAAAGATTCTGAATGTATTAAATCTTGAATTTCGGATATGTTGTGGGTCATTGTGTCTAGATTCTAAATATTCAACCGTCTTGTAATTTCGTCATTCCTACATCAAGATACAAAAGTTTTAGTGAAGTCACACAAATCTGAAATTTTCAGCATGACAGAATCTAGAGCTAACTTCAAAAAATCATAAAAAAGATTCAGAATGTATTAAATTCTGAATTTTGGATATATTAGATATCGAGAAGTATAATTTCAGCAAAATCAAATCATTCATAATTTTGATTTTTCTACAATGAGATATGAATTTTCTACAACAGACTCATCAAGCTGTAGAAAAAGTGACGAACAAAATCTACAGCTAACTCTAAAAAATCATTTAAAAAAAGAAAGATTCGGAATGTATTATATTATGAAATTTGGATATGTTAGATATAAAGAAGTATTACTTCAAAAAATCAAACCTTTCATGATTTCTATGTTTCTGCATTGAGATATGAATTTTCTATGACATACGCGTCAAGCTGTAGAAAAAGTGACGAAAATCAGAAAAGGGGAAGGAAAATTACCTTGAATTATGCCCCTTTCGTCAATGTCTTGTATCTCACAATCCGTAATTGAAAAAAATTATGAATACAATGCGTCTATTATTAATGTCATGTGATGGGAATAAAATTATTTTCCTAGTACAATGACAAATCCTTTTTGGCTAGGACAATAGAAAAGATATATGAATTTGAAATTGAGTAGAAATACAATTCCTAGTTCAACTATAATTTGAATTTAAATGGCTTTCAACATAACTTATACTAAATATTCGAAGTTCTAATTGGAGTCAAATTAGAAGTCATGTAACTAAAGGACTCCCAATAGGATTCGATGTGTATGACTACTGGAAATCGTAAATGACTAAAAAAATTAGTGAATCATTTCATTCCTAGTTGACTTTGGTCAATACGAGAAAAAATTCCACACTTCAAGTCTCATCTCTATGATGCAAATACTTTCGACATGACTTGAACCAGGGGGCATTTGTAATAATTTAAAATTTATTTAAATATAAATTTATTATATGGTTTGAATTATATTAAATTAATAAATATTATGGATTAATATAATTGATTTAATAATTTAAATTTAGATAACTATAAATTCAATTAAAGCCCGCTCCATAAATCTCATATGATATTTCACTTAAATCTCCTTGGTCGAAGGGAGTCCTGTTCCTATCGCAACCCCTCTATTCTAAAACTATAAATAGGGGTCTCATAATTCAGAAAAGAGAACCAAGAATTTTAACAAGAAGCTAGAGAAAGCTCGTGGATAAAAAGCTGCAAAATTTCTCTACAAGTTCAAGAATTCAAGCATTTAAGCTTAAAGAACGATCAAGATCAAGAACGATAAAGATCAAGAACGATCAAGATAAAGGCTGCCGGATTCAAGATCAAGCTTGAAGCCCTTAGATTCAACTAAAAGTCAAGATCAAGATAAAGTTCAAGTTCAAGATCAAGTTAAAGTTCAAGTTCAATTTCAAGATCAAGATCAAGACACAGATTAAGATCAAGAGAAATCCCAAATTTAAGATCAAGCTTTAAAGACCTTGAATTTATATTTGAAAATGCGAATTCAGAAGAACCATAGAGATTGTAACACTCGCACTTGAAGTAATAAATTGGTTGTTGCTATAACTTTCTGTTCCTAACTATTATTTTCTCGACGTGATTTTTATTGTCTACAGACTAATATCAAAATAATCTTCTTTTTATTCTAATTAACTTTTGAAAACAAAAGAAACAAAATTAGATATAATATTAATTTCAGTACCATTACATGTAGTTAATCTAAAATTTTCAATTTACAAATAAAATAGAAGATAAAATATATAGTTCAAAATATATAATTTTGACATATGAATAATATTCTCTTAATTATCCACATACAGATATTGTTAAGCTTAATTTTTAAGTCTCAATTATATATAAAGTACAATAAATACATCAAAATCATTGCTCCTTACTAATTTCAATCTTCTGATGTTGTGATAGTAAGATTTTTCAAGATGTATTATCGGACATATTATATTGAAAGATATAAGAAGGCCATAAAGTGGGACAAACTGATCCAGCCAAAAAAAGTGTTTAGGATGCTATAATTTTTTAATCCCTGTTTGGAAAACAAATGTACAGTAAGAGGCAATAGAAAAAGGGGAATGCAATCTCAAAGAACCTACTTGTGAAAACGTCATTGAATGTGAGGTAATGATTAATGATCTCGATTACCACAATAAAATGGATGTCAATAACCCGTTGGATTATTTGGGTGCAAGTGATACATGTTCAGAGATCCAGAGCTTTGATGAAATTGTGGATACCATCGGAAAAAGCCATGTTGATGATGAAGTTGAAGATGATACTATATCTTTGGAACCTGTTATGCGTAAGAAAACACTTATCACATCTAGAAATCTTCACAATTTTATGATGTAGTTAAAAAAGACAACATCGGAGCTCTTAGATGCAATTAGAAAAGTTAGCGATGAGCTTCAACTAAAATTAAATTTTAAGAAAAACCAGAACACAATAGAATCACATTTCACTAAATTATCTAAGATATATTTGTAATTTTAAAGAATTTATTAGTATATGATATTAACGGGACCCTATCCCCGCCTTTGTGGCGTCACCACAAGTCAGGATTCTCTTTTAACTTACTTATTTTCAAAATTAGCCTTCCTTTTCATAAAAAAAGTTGTGACTTTTATGAAAAGTTGCGACTTTTACAAAAAAAAATTGACTTTTTATGAAAAGTTGCAAATTAATGAAGAG